CCACATTTACTTATTCACCCGCTTTGTCTTCAGCGATTGTGTGGGGAAGGTGAGCATCATAGAATGCCAGTTTAATACAACAAAGTGTTCTTGCATTGAGGGAGTACTTGAGTGGAGGCCCAATGTCCTGGATCCTCTTTCTAACATCGAGCCCATATTTTAATTTTCACTTTTTTCCTCAAAATAGAATTCCATAGTAAAATATCAATCTAACACAATGGAACTTGTGGGGAAAATGAAACTCATCTATTTTTAAAATTCCAAACCCAGAAAGAAGCGCTTCCAAGGCCGAAAGACAGTTAATTTGTCCATCCCAGTAAGTGAAACATCTTGCACCAAACTGTCCCTCATTGATGAATGCATTTCTTCATCGCCGACCTACCAGACTGTGCCTGATTTCCAGAGAATGCAGATCACCGGTGATTATGCCTCTGGGGTGAGTTGTTCCCTCCCCCTCAGATGCCCCTGCCCCAAAGACTTTCAGCTTGACTGCTCTAGCCTCTCCCCTCCTCCTGCTCTAGAGGGAGGCCTTACTTCACTTGTCCTTTGTTCTAGTTCATTTCAAGAGGAATAGACAAGGTCTTGTAGTTCTATATTGCTTTTATCATCCAACATTATTTCCTTTTCTTTGTCTCATTTGATTGCATGGGAAGAAGATGTATGGAGAGCAGAAGGCAGTGGATAGATTCTGGCAAAGGAACCCAAGAGAGCAGCAGGTGGTCTAGTCTCACTGATGGCTGCAAAAAGTGGGAACAGGAGCCTCAGGAGGGACAGGGGGCTTTCCGATAAAGGTAGAACCCTGCAGACCTGGACTACAGAGAGGGGTTTTGAAGACAACAAATCCGTAGTATGAAAGGGAGAAGATAGGAGAGAGAAGAGACCAAAGAAAAGAGCAGGAGATGAGCGAGGGTAAAAAGTTCCAACACCTCTTCTGTATTCAGTGCACCCATGGCTCCTGGTCCCAAGAGGCATCGTAAGCAAATAGCTGCTCATTGGCTGCTGAACAAACTGACTGGTGTGTTTGCTCCTTGTCCATCCACTGGTCCCCACAAGCTGAGAGAATATCTCCTGCTGGTCATTTTCTTAAGAAGTAGGCTTACATATGCTCTGACAGGAGACGCCGGTTTAAAAATTGGCATGCAGTGATTCACTAAGATGGATGGCAAGGTCGGACCTGATCGAACCTCTCCTGCTGGGGTGTGGCTGTCATCAGCACAGACAAGGTCCGAGAGAATCTCTGTCTGATCTATGACACCAAGGGCCGATTTGCTGTTCATTGTATTCCACCAGAGGAGGCAAAGTACATTTGTGCAAAGTAAGAAAGATCTTTGTGGGCACAAAAGGAATCCCTCACCTGGCAACTCCTGATGCTTTTACCACCTGCTGTCCTGATCCCCTCATCAAGGTGAACGGCACCATTCAGGTCGATTTGGAGACTAGAAAGGTAACTGATTTCATCAAGTTCGACACTGGTAACGTGTGTATGGTGACTGGAGGTGCTAAGGAAGAGCTGGTGTGATCACCACTAGAGAGAAACGTCCTGGCTCTTTGGATGCAGTTCACGTGAAAAGTGCCAATGACAACAGCTCTGCTCCCCATTTCCCCAACGTGTTCATTATTGAAAAGGCAACAACCCATGGATTTCTCTTCCCCAAGGAGAAGGGAGCCGTCTCACCCTTACTGAAGAGGGAGACAAGAGACTGACCGCCAAACCGTGCAGTGGGCGAAATGATCGCTAGGTGGTGAAAATGAAGAAATGTGTAAGTTAATGATATGGCCTAACTGATTAAAGAGAGAGCGAGAGAGAAAGTTCCGACAGGCTATTGTCTTTCTGTCTGGCTGTCCTCTCCAGTTTCAAGTAAGAGACTCGTGTGACACAGGGCTAGTAAACTCATGGCACAAACAACTTGACCTGCTTGTCCTATCCATAAGGGCTGGCCAATTCCTAAACCTCTGCCACAGGGACTTGCAGAATCAGCACCAGATGGGTGAAACTGTGTTTAGCCATCAGTCTGTGCTCCAAATATAGTTTTATGACCAGTCCCAGGCGCCCTTCTCATATAACTGATCCATTTAGGATCCATCCTAAGTTATTTAAAAGTGATCCTGGAGACTTTGAAGAGCAAACTATATTGCTATACTTGTATATTTGTTAGCTAGATGTGGCTGAATAACACTCCACCTGGTTTGAATGTGTGCCTGAATGAAAAAGAGAGCTGAAAAGGATAGCAGGATGAAGTTCTATGGGCCATTAATCTCTGATTAAAAAAAAAGATTCTATTTAACCAGGTCTCACTGAGGACTAGAAAGCCCTGGTGGTGTAGTGGTTATGTGTTGGGCTATGATCCACATGGTTGGCTGTTCGACACCACAAGTGACCCCTCGAGAGAAAGACTGGGCTTTCTACTCCTGTAGAAAGTCTTGGAAATCCTCAGGGGTCACTATGAGTCCGTATTGACTCAATGGCAGTGAGTTTGGTTTTGGTATCAAGGACTACTCCTTGCTAGGTGTTGTGCAGTATGTGCCGACAGCCAAACCCAATAACACTGTTTAGCCAATTTGGACTCCGAAGGTTTCCGAGGCTGTACATCTTTACAGCTGTAAATCTGTAAAGCCTCATCTGTCGTGTGTAGAGTGGCTGGTGGGCTGGAAGCGCAGACGTTGCAGCTAACAGTCCACTGCTGACTGTAGAGCAGTGGTCCTCAACCTGTGGGTCGTGACCCCTTTGGGGGGGTAAAACGACCCTTTCACAGGGTTGCCCAATTCATAACAGTAGCAAAATTATAGTTATGAAGTAGCAACGAAAATAATTTTATGGTTGCGGGGGGTGTCACAACATGAGGAACGGTATTAAAGGGCCACGGCATTAGGAAGGCTGAGAACCACAGCTGTCGAGCATCCCCAGGGCTGAGGACAGGAATGAGAATAAGACCTAACTTCTTCCCTTGACTTGCTGACCAACGGATGGCTCACTAGCTGGCAATGGGACAAGCATGTCCCTGAAAGCTGATCCCCAACCAAGCACCATGTGTTACATGCTTTACCAGCTCTTTAGAAATAGTTGAACTGATTAGGATCACATCTGAACTGCCAACCTTTGGGAACAAGCTTACATTGATCCCCAGGGGTGAGGGCAGGGGGGCAGGAATAGCCAATGATTTAAAGTCAGAACTACTTGGGCATGCCCCACTTAGCCAGAAGTCAGATTTGGAGGAAGGGGGTATAGGCTAGTGTCAGACTATCCCAATGTTCTAATAAAAACGTATCTCTCTTTTCTGCTGTTTGTCACCCTGGGAGGGGGCCCATATGTCTCTCATAGTGATCAGTTCCCCCTTACTCGCCCCCCTGCCCCCACTCCATACCCTCCTAGTATCACTGCTTCCCTTATTGTTCCTGAGGGTTTAAAAGAGACAGCAGTTGGTGTAAGACATGAAAAGAAAAAAAAGAATAATTTATAAATTATCAAGGGGGACATGGGGGAGGCAGGGGGGATTTGGGGAGCTGATGCTAGGGCCTCAAGTAGAAAGAAAATGCTTTGAAAAAGATGATTACAACATATGTACAGATGTGTTTGACACAATGGATGGATGTATGGAATGTGATAAGAGTTGTACGAGCCCCCCAAACAATGATTTTTTTAAAAGAAGAAAAAGAAAATAAAAAGAGCTGTAAGAGCCTCTAATAAAATAAAATAAATTCATCTCTCTGCTTTTAGCCAGAAGTAAATGCTCCTCAAAGCCATTAAAAAAAGTGACCTCTCACAGGATAACTTTCAGATTTACAGCTATAGAAGGGAGTGCGTGTGTGAGGGGGTCTGAGGGATTCACACCACTTCGTCTTCCCCCAACAGTTATCTGGAAGGAAGAAAGTATTTACCTTTTAGAATGAGTTGTTTTAATCATACCTGCTGGATAACCAGTGCTATGGATTGCATCTCAATGTAAAGAAAACCAAAATCCTCACAACTGGACCAATAGATAACATCATGAAAAACGGAAAAAAAATGGAGATATGATTGAAGTTGTCAAGGATGTCCATCTTGCTTGGATCCACAAACCAATGCTCATGAGAGCAGCATTAGGAAATCAGAGGACACATCGCATAGGGTACATCTGGGGCACAGACCTCTTTAAAGTGTTGATGAGCAATTATGTCACTTGGAGGACTAAAGTACACCTGATCCAAGCCATGGTTATTTTCCATTGCTTCATATGCCTGTGAAAGTTGGACATTGAAGAAGGAAGACCAGAGGAGAACAAGTGCTTTTATATTATGGTGTTGGCAGGGAGTATTGAAAGTACCCTAACCGCCACAAGAACAAATAAATCTGGGAAGGGGAAAGGTGGAATTCGAACTGATTATGACAATGTATATACAACTCTTTAAAAAAGTGATTTATCTATGCAAGTATATGATAAGTGAATATTATATCAAGAAAACTACTTTAAAAAAAAAAAAGACCAGTTGTTACCAGGGGTATAGGAGGAAGAGTATTTGCTTAGGGGCATTTGAGAGGTTGGAGACGGAGATGCAGAACAGAGATAGAATTTAGCCCGGAATGTGAAGTTGATAAAGATTTTATTGAGGCAGGGAAAGAACTCCCGGGAGGGAAGGGAGAGCAGAGAAAGGCAAGGGGGCATCTTGAGCCCCTGGGCGGGTTCTGAGACCCAACGAGTTAGGTCAGGGAAGTGGTGCCTGACAGTGAGGCAGTGGGACACATGTAGGGCTTGAGCCAAGGACGTAGGTACTGATGAGGGGAGGAGGGCCTTCTGGGGCTGCAGGTGCAGGTCTGAGTCAGGACGTGGTCTGTGAGTAAGTCCTCCTGGAACGCTGAGGGAAGGGGCTGTACAGACCCGGCCTGGAGAGATAAGCTCCTTGGAATGCTGGGGGCAGGGACTGCACAGTCCAGCTCTGGCCTGGAGAGGCGGGGGGAGGGGCCTCACAGTCCAGCAGGCTATCTTTCAGGAGAACTGGGTGTAGCGGATGCATGGGCTGGACCTGGCCCAAACATCCCAAACTCTTAATGGTGGTAGTGGACATAGTGTCCTATCATTAACTACTTCCTGCTGAGGTTGGGCGATGAGGGGAGAGATTAAGAGTCGGGAGGCCTGGGGCCCGGTGCAGGTCAGCAGCAGACTATAAGGACGAAGCAAGAGTTGGTTGAAGGTCAGGTTGGAGATGGCTTTCATTCGGTCCTGCAAAAATTTGAACACAGAGGGAGCCAACAGTAACAGTACACAAATTATTGCCAAAGGCCCAACGAGGGGCATAATCCATGACATGACAGGACTTTGAAACCACGAGGAAGGGCTGGTGGTGCCCCACTGACATCTTTTAATATTATCGGCCATGGTGCGGAGTTTATTAGCATTTTGTTCAACTATACCCAATTCATTAATATAATAGTAACATTCTTCATTTAAAAACATACACGGT